TTTTTTGCGCGATGAATGACACGTTTCATTCTTGAGCAGATCCAATGGCAAGTCGAAGGCTGTGCGACGCGTCATCCCACCAGGCAGAAAAATTGCTGAAGTACCAGTCGGCACGCTGAAAACATTGTACACCTTACCACATTATGTGAAATCGTGTAGTGTACTGGAATTGTTTCCCAGTGCCACCTGCTCAATTGATAATAAGCAGCGACGCACTTCCCGTTCCGAATTTTCATGCGCCGCTGCATTTAAACCACTTAATATGTATGGCATACGTAGAGTTGAGGATACGCTTTTTGCTGACTGTGATTTAGCAGAGAAACGACCTTATAAGATGGATGTAGACGTGTCGAAGCGAAATGATAGACCACGCCGGATATTTTGAAGCAGTAAAGGCCATTATCGGTAACGTCAAGAATGGTTGCACCAAAAGGAAACAAACGTGTTTGCGCTGTTGTACTGTCAGTTAAACTCATGAAAATTGCGAGCGTTTTCATCGACAGCATTTTCAACTCTGGCGAAAACTCCAATGGGTTCAAATGGACGACCATGAGAACAACCTTGCCGAAGTGCTCAACAGAGCATTCCACATCCATAGGGTCGCGATCATGCGAGACGACTGGAATGACATTGGGTGTCCTAGCCAACGCAATTCGAGCATGGTTAAAGTTTCGTCGCGTAAACGCGCTGCTCTCCTGCAGTTCCCCTCTCAGCATTAAGATTTTCAATTTGCTCATAGGTCAATGCAGACCTACGCAGCCTCGCCGCTTCCCTTGCGCGGGCGCACCACATCCCACACAATTTAGGATCTGGAAAAGCACAGGTTGGTAGGCCTAACAACTACATGGATGAACCACGAAACGGGCCTAGCCTATGCCATGGAAGGAAAAAGCTCATTGGCCTGACGGTTACCAAGCCTATGACCAAGAAAAATAAAGATTTAAAGGCCAATGGGCTACCGAGCCTTTGTAATTGAAGGGCAAAAGCTTCATAGGCTAGAGGCTACATCTACCATGAATCTCCTTAGCGTATTCTAATGTAGTATGGAATGGACGGATGGATGTTAAATAACCATTGGTAGCGAGCGTAAACGCCATGAGTATAAAATGAGAACGATTTCAGTATACAACAGAGGGACGGATTTTGAAGAACAAGGGAATACCTGTAGAGAAGGGGGAAAAAAAAGCTCTCCCTTTTCCAGTCATAAAAATCTGGATGAAGAACACAAGAAGGAAGGAAGAGTGGATGGGTGGGAGGGGCGAGGGAAAAGGCGAGTGCCAGGCACATTCTGCCACTAGAAGTTGGGAAGGGAACAGGGAAGGAATGTTGTGAGAAAAAAAAAGCGTACGTCCTGTCCGCTCACGCGGCTCTCAGCTAGAAAACCAAGCTAACAAAGAAGAAGTCCCACAATTTAACAACTCGAATGCCAAGAAAGACGACTGATGTCTCGTCTGAATCGTAGACGATTCCGCCACCTAAAAACTTTTGGTGATTTTGTACCAGAGGCACACAAACCGATGAAAGCCCGGTCATGTATAGGTGGGGGATGGACATCCTAATGGAAACGCTTCTCTTGAATGAACATTCCGAAGAAACGAGTGCACAGGTCGTGAGCATAAATTTTTCCATGCATTCTGAAGAACCATTTATATTAATCGATCAGAGAATATTTTAGGATTACAGCATTGATGACGAATCGGGAGGCATACCAGGCGAAAGCGTGATTTGGGGAGGGAGGCACGGAGGACTATCTGAAACGTGGGGTTTCTAGTGAGTATTTGGGGAGTAAATGTGGTATTTCGGGCATCGGTGCACTCGGAAAACCTCGTGCTGTCATGTCAAAAAAAAATATTCGATGATTTTGCAGCAGAGACATCCGATCGGGTGCGCCGATGAAAGCCCGTTCAGGTGGAGGTGGGTGGCGGATATCCTACCGGAGACGCTTGGCTTGAATGAACTTTCCGAGAGAACTTGAGCATATAACGCGAATGTGAATATGGCCATGCACTACAGAGAACCACTTCCATCGATCTATCAGAGAATATTTCGAGGTTTCAGTATGGAATTCGTATCAGGGAGGCTATGAGACGCAAGCGTACAAGAGGGAGGAGAAGGGTGTTGGGCAGTCGGAAACGACAGACATCAGGAGGTGAGCGGGGGGAGAAAAGGTGGTATTTCCGGCATGGATACACTCGGGAGACCCTTTGCTGTCGACGTGTCAAAAAATATTTGGTGGTTTCAACAGAGACACCTTAACGTGCATGCCGATGAAAGCCTCGTTCCGGTCGAGGCAGGCGGTGGGTATCCTGCAGGAAACGCCTGGCCTAAATGAATTTTCCGAAGAAACCAGAGCATAGACCACAAAGATGAATGTATCCACGCACTCCAGGCAATCATATCTATCGATCTATCAGAGAAAATTTTACAAGTTACGTCTAAAAAGCGATTTCTGACGATTTACGACACCTTTGTTTAATGAGGGCGAAATATCATTTTAGTTTGAGTAAACTTTCTGAGCGAAGCACCGACCGCAAAGGGACGAACGAATTCTCAATGTCATCCAGAGAGTCTTTTCTAATGACCTACCAAATATTATTTTATGTTTTTCGCTTTTGAGGAGCCTGGGCTCGCATTCTGCGGCGAGCGCGTAAACGTAGGGGAACACGGGATCTATGGGTTTCCTCTTCCCGTGAGACATGCCATGACTAATGCATCCCAACGGCGCTCCCCCTGCACCGTTTCAACGGCTCGAAGATGGGAACACGTAAGGAGGGCAACATCTACATTCAGCTGATCCAATTCACATTCTTCTCGTATTCTCATTCACTTGCATTTCAAGTGTAACGATAACCTGAAACGATCTAAAATTTGATGAAAGATCATAATTGGAGGAATTCATATCGCACATCCCATTCCATTCGATTTATCAATTCGGTTCACTTGTCAAGTTCGCGTATTGTATTCAAGTTCTACATGCTTATGCGTCTACACCCACAATACTTTTGAGAGAGGCTTTTTGAGAGGATAATTTTCATTGTTCATTGTCCATTATTAATTATTCATCCGTTGTCCGATCGTCAACCTTTATTCACTACTAGGACTCGAATTTATTTGCCGCTGGGACTGCCACTAGCAGCGATTTTGAGGAAATTTTCAATTGACTGTAGTCCGTTTTGGAAATCTCGACTATGCCATAAGTCTCTGAATTTAGGAATTGTGCGCGGTATGGAAGTTTCGAATCAGGGAAAACTCAACGCAAGGTCTTTCCTCCTACCTTCGTGTAATGTGGGAGGTGAGAGAGCAGAAAAGATTCGCACTGACTTTCCCTGTCATGTAGGACCCGGATTCTTGTTTTTTTTCTCCTTGAAGGTAATGCGCTGCTGCTAATGCGTCTCGAAGGCGCTCAACTCGCAACGTCGCAAGCGCTCAAACGCCAGAGCTTCTCCAAGACTTGAACATGAAGGAGCTGGTGCCGTGCATCCTCTTGGCTTTCGCCTTCTTCCTCTTTCCTCGGGAAACTCTTCAAGGTTCCTCTTGCTCCAAGGCTCCTTCGTCCCTCTCATGTGAGTCTCCTCCAGATTGAATGTTCCGAGTGAGTAGGACAAAATTGAATTTTTTCATTATAATCAAAATCTGCTTCGAGATGGAAATCCGGTTTCTTAGCTCTACTTATGTCGAGGTTTATGTTTGCAGATTGTTTTTATAAACCTATCACATCTCTGGCTTGTTTTCGGAACGTTGGATTCTTTTGAGCAGGTGAACTGCTCCGAAATTTTTTCCCTTAGGAGATGCATTCGTAAACCAACCGATTAGGAAAAATGTAGAGTTTCATTACTCAAAAAAGCATGAGTAGGAGCGGTATCAGGCATTTTTCAAATCAGCAACCAAAAAGTCACCTAAGTAAAGGACGCTCAATCGATATATTAAGATTTGTTATGCGAAAAGACAGTGACGCTAGAGCAGAATCATTGAATTGAGCCGAGTCGATATGTATGCTCCATCCAGTGACGAGCCAGAGATGTGGACAGTCGACGTCGACAGGATCAACAGGAGGTGCCTGGTGGAGCCGTCTTTGGAGGAGGTTCGTGGGACCATTCACGGGAATGCTGGTGAGACAGGGTGGACTGCTCGTGGGTGGATCCCCGGCCACCATAAGCGAAGCGCCTTTCATAGCCTACATCGAAATCACACGCCTGGATGGCAGAATTGGTGGTTGCACAGGCTCCATCATCAGCGATATGTGGATTGTCACTGCCGGGCATTGCATCTACGACGACAACAAGTCAGTCGAAATCATTTTGTGCCGCACTTTCAAATTTGCTCCGTTTCAGAAGCGTTGCAGACACACAGAGAGCCTCGGAAGGTAATGTAACAAGGCAATGAGGGTAGTTTTTAGACTGGTTACATCACCGTTATCTTACCTTCTTATCGTATCTTCAAAAGGTGTCTGTGTGACTTCGTCAAGAGGCCTTCGCTGCGTCGTCGAGGAGAGATGTTGGCATGTTTTACGAGGCATTGGGACGCATCGCGTCCCGAAGCCACGTAAAACATGCATTCTTCCAGAATCTTCCTGAGAGAAATGCCTGACATTTAAAAAATGCAAAATGTTTCATGTTTTTGGTTAAATGGCGGCAATTGTTCTTTGGGTGAAAGCACAATAAGTGCGAGTGGGGAGCGTCGATAATACCGCCGGTTTAGTCTTCCCCGCCCAGAACTTCTTCGCCCATGAATCGTTCGACCTAGGTGAGACCATGACCAAGTTGATGTCTCCTTTCTCATGTAAATGGATAGGAACAAATGGGGCCCTTCCTCTTCGCGAAGAGTTCGCGGCAGGCGAATTCTTCGCGGATTTGAGGTTAGGCGTTTTTTCTTTTCGCCTCGTGCGGAAACATTCTCTGACGTTCGAAATGTAAGTGCGCTGCAGACATACATATTCAAAACAAATTTCATTGGGTTCAGCTTTTTTCATGTAATCGGCATACAACGTAGGTCCTCTTAGAATGAGTATGGTAACTTAAAAAAATTGCTCTACCGATGGGCATGGTCCCCATGAATGCTTCTGAAGCCTATATTTTCCATTCCAAAATGAGAGAAACAGCATTTCAAAGAGACTTCTATCGTGGAACCGAAAAATAAAGAACGGCCTTCACACGTAACTTCGTGAATTTTCGCTGCATTGTCTGATTCTGCTCCGGACGGACGTTAACCCACGAGCTATTTCTTGAGGTTTTCTCATTCGTTCCCTCCTCAGGTACCCTCCAGACGGCTGGCTATGACATAGCCCTCATCCAATTGACTTCGAGGTTGACTTTCGGTCCGACCATCCAGCCGATTTGCTACCCCACGAGCGACTCCCTCTCGGGATACAAAGGCATCTCCTCATGCAGTCAAACGGCGTACGGCTGGGGGGCGACCGACTCGGCCGCCACGCAATATCCCAACATCTTGCAAAAGCTGGGCTTCACTGTGGTCACGAATTCATCATATTGTGACAGCTTCACGGACGGGAGAATCATCTGTGCCCAAGGAATCAGCCCTGGCAGCGACGCCTGCCGCGTATGTCTCATTCTTCACTTTAAACATTCCCTCTGCGTAAAGATATCCAGGAGGCGACGAGCGCAAAGGCAAAACGGTGGGAAGGAGGGGAGAACGGATAGGCAAAGCCTCGAGTTTGTAAGATGGCGATGATCCTGATTACCTATAGTATGTAGAATACATTGATGAAGCGTATTTTGCAATACATCAGATATTCATGAGGAGCAGAACCCGTTCGAAAGAAATTTTTTAGTTTGAAATTATTTCGGAAAATAATTTTGACTTAAAAATTTCTTTCGGATGGCATAAGACTTAAGTTTAATATGATCAAATTACATTTTGTGGAAATGTCAAAAATTTTCAGTTTAATATCAGGACTGATATTCAAATATGCCGTTCATACAGCACATCGTAGAAGAACATTGAAGAAAGATGAATTTAAGTCTCTGCCTCTGTATTCCAAGATTCAGACCTTCTAGTCAACTTAATTCCCAGCACCAAGCCGAAGGCGTTCTCATTCGTGTTTCTCCTCTTCAATGATGGCATTCAGGGAGACAGTGGAGGACCCCTGGTCACGCGGTATGGCAGTCAAGCATTTCTCACCGGATTGGATTCCTTTGGCGCGTTGATATGCGATGGAAGGGCGCCAAATAGATTCACGAGGGCCTCCTTCTTCGCCACTTGGGTTCAATCGTGGGTCTCAGCCTGAGTTGGGAAAGTTTTCGTCTGTGCGGATTTGCCTGTTTGGAAATTTAGAAGGCTTTGCTTTTCAAGTGAGACTATCAATTTCCAGAAATTTTTTGTACAAGAATCTCCTTTGGAAGTGTCGATAGGTATGCACTTACACGCACCCAATTTACTCACTTCACCGCTTGCACTCACACTGCACCGATTTCTCACACGTTGCGCTGAAACTGCATTGAGGTGACCGGCTTTTCATCGATCCTCTTCACGTTCGGCACATCATAATCCTCTTTCGATTTCACATTCTCTAAGACACCTCGAAGTTGCATTAGGGGAGCCCTTAAAATAGAATTTGATTTGGGCAGATCACATTCAGTCACTTATTAAAATTTTATCAGCAGCAGACACCTGGTGAATGGAGAAAACAAATCTTTTCGTATGAAACGTCCCATCATGTTTAGCATGATCCCATAAAACGTAATCCAACGAAAAACTCGTCAGGTAAACCAGTTTTCCCAGTCAAATGGTTTGGCGGAGGAGGTGTACCAATGTTTTTTTTTTCATAAAAACAATATCCTTAGGATGTAGATTAACCTTCAATATTTTTGCTTCCGTACGCCGTTTACAAATTGCTTCCACCATGTACGCCCGAATTTATTCAAGTTTAAAGTTGTACAAGACTTTATAAACACCCTGTATATCCTCCTTCACATACGCCATGGTACGACATTACTCCAAATACTTTCCGAATGCTCCAACTGTTTCTCACAAAACTGCTGCATTTATGGAATCTTTGAAATCTGAAGCTTCACGCCCCCCGAAGTTCCTATTCTCTCATTGCGTCTTTCTTATCATTCCACCGAAGTTCCCCATTATATGTTTCTTATAAGTTCATATTCTGAAGTGTTTTTTTGTGTGTGCAAATAGGAATAAACGTCCATTGGGCCGAGCAGCTATGGTCCCAAACGGGAAAATCCTATAGAATTTTTTCGTAAGGCGTAGTCACATTTTTCTCATAGAACATAAATGGTTCGTCTCCGTACCGGGATCGGGATCGACTCCATTATTGCTCCGTTCGCATTCAAATTAGGTCCAAAACTACATTAGTGACCTCATCTGGATCCCCATTTGGGCAAAGTGTGGTCCAGAGGAATCCCTGAGAGCGGAATACCAGCCATTTCCTCACTAGTGCACGATGGATCAGACTTATCTTGCCTTTCCAATATGTTGCACCGGACTCAAGAGGTGTGGACGATGCTAGGCACCATCGATGTAAAATTGTATCGATGTACCATCGATGTAGCCATTTCGTGTAAAAAAAAAAAAAAAAAAAAAAAAACAGG